GCCGCCCCAGGGTGCTCTGCCTCGAAAGGAACATTCCCCACTGGGCGCGCATTCATCATATCACCTGGCCGCTGCGGGATAGCGATTACGCTTGCAAAGACATCGACCTGCAATGCGTCAAAGTCTACGGGGTCATTACTCCTGCTTTCACTTTCTCCAATAGGAGGGTTCGGCCAAATATCTATTGTGATTAAAGTCCGTCACTTTCGAGATGTAAATTACCATAATGAATGCTGAAGTGTCTCTCACACCACCTGTGACTGTTGCTGTCACTCGGCATATAATCAAGAGGTGAAAATAATAAATGTGTCAGCGGAATAGTAAGTCATTTTTTCTGCTATTTAGTTTATCAAATATAAGGCATTTGTACACAAAGGGAGCAATCAGAGTAAAGTCTCTTCGTGGGTTGCTAAAAAGTCATCCAATTTACAATGCACCCATGGTCATTGTTTAACTCAAAAGTTCACGCACATGCATCTATTCCTGTCGCACTCCCTGTATAGCCATGTATGATAATCATTCAATGCGAACCTATGTAAATAGAATAGGAGAAAGATGTTTTATGTCTATTAACAGAAGAGCGGTGTGATAAGAAGCACAGGAAATATATTTAATCCTTTCAATGCGGAAGAAATTCTAAGCCTGGTGCTCCTTCCTTAATCAAAATCAGAAAATAAAAATGGCAGTTCATTTAGTACATTTGTGTGTGTGTGTGTGTGTGTGTGTGTGTGTGTGTGTGTGTGTGTGTGTGTGTGTGTGTGTGTGTGTGTGTGTGTGTGTGTGTGTGTGTGTGTGTGTGTGCGTGTGTGTGTGTGTGTGTGTTTATGTGTGTGTGTGTGTGTATCTGTGTCTGTGTATATATATGCGTTTGCATATGTGTGACAATCCACAACCGACGATTTTAAAAATAAATACAACCATAAAACCTCCACGAAGTACATATAACTCACTATTACATTACCCAGAGACGTTTTGGCTGTACAATTAATCACAAAACCCAATCTTATTACGATGCTAAATCAATAATGCCCAAGCTGTGAGAGAGAGACTCAGCATCACTGATCTCTATACTGTTGTTCATAATGGAGAGGCAGCATCAGCACCAACATCCCCCGGCAAAAAGCAATATCAAGAGTGCTTCGTATATTTACTTTAGTCACTGAAAGACTAACGCTAAAAGAGCTATTGCATTTGACGCATGGAATAGCGACATAGGAATATGACACATGTTCGAAGTGGAAATGCTCTACGTAAGGAGGTTATTATTTTTTAGACATCCAGAGAGAAATACGTGTTTGGGAGAGACTAAAGACATTCCAGCTGATACTTCAAAATCTTCTCTCTCTCTCTCTATCTCTCCTTCTCTCTCTCTCTCTCTCTCTCTCTCTCTCTCTCTCTCTCTCTCTCTCTCTCTCTCTCTCTCTCTCTCTCTCTCTCTCTCTCTCTCTCTCTCTCTCCCTCTGTCTAGAAAAAAAAGTAATAAATAAAAAGCGAATTAAAGTTTTAAAATCTTTTTAAAAATCAAGTTATAAAGGAAAAAAGTCGCCGAAAAAAATCAAAGGTTAAAAGCCAAATCACCCAGCCACCATCGCGTCCATTAGAAGTACATTATAGTACATCACATTACACAGTTGTACTTACCTACGAGTGCAGAGACCAGGCCGAGGAAGAGATGGAGATTCATATTTGATCCTTTTAGAAAATCCTCGAAAATCCTAGAGTGCGTTCACGTTGCAGCGGAGGTGTGAAATGTCCCCTCGGTGTTCCTAGGTCAGAGGGGAAGCTCTGGCAAGGGAATCGCAGACAACACAAAAACACTGTCAAAAGATCTGAACTGTTTTTTTTCTGGTTTTATTCGATTTTCTTGATTTCTGTTTTTTTTTTCTTTCCTTTCTCTCTCTTCTTTCTTTCTTTCTTTCTTTCTTTTGTTTTCTTTTTTTACTTTTTTTTTGGAGGGGGGAGTTTTCTTTTCTTTTCTTTTTCTGTTTTCTTTTTTTCTTTTTCTTTACCTTCCTTTTTCTGGTAACGCTGGGTTTTACTTTTGTTTTTGTTTCTTGTTTTGCATCTAAGGTCACTCCTTGATATTCAACGGTCACATTGACTTAAATGTCTTACATATATTTTTCTCTCCTCTTTTATATTTTCTTTTTCTGCAGGAATTCTTCCTTTCTTATCTTTCTTTCCCTTTAAAGCACTTCTTGGAAGAAAAAAAAAACAGAAACAGTCTTACAAAGGCAATACTGTTATTCAAATAACCGTTTCTCCTTATTTCTTACTAATATAAGTAAATTCAATATACTTCTTTTTTTTTCCAAATCCTCTCAGTACCCTATCTATACGAAAGCTGGTTATAACGAAGCATGAATACCATCAGGTGCAGTTTATAGTCCGAAACCCACTTTCCCAGCTCGTCATGATAGAACCAATCTGTTCTATTAAGGGTGCTCCTACCCACGCATTCCAGGCTTCCTAGGTCCACGCATCACTCGCCGGGAAGAAG